CCAGAAAAACGAACTCTATTCCTATTAAAATTGGTTATATTCAAAATTAGTTTTATTTTCATTTCAATAAAATATTTCGATTTAATGTTCGAAAAATTAAGGGACAAATATTGTTATTAGAATTGCCCATCTTGAAGAATTATTTATATGTGCAACAAAAATATTTGCAAAGGAATTGAAATATATCACACTTGAAAAAAATCAGCTTAAAGTAAAATAAATAAGGATTAAATATTTATTTGAATGATAACAATATACCTATGTATAAGTTTAAAAGTATGGGTATACTCGTATTAATCACTTTTACTTCTAGTGTTAGTTACAACAAAGTTTAGTGTCTGTGTAACTTTTGTCTCGTAGATAACTTATTGCTTTTAGTGAACACTGCTTACAAACTTGCTGTTTGTAAATAGTGAATTGCACTTACTATCAAATTTTCTCTTTAAGTTTCGGATAATAAGTATGTATAATATCTTTGTTATATGTAATATTTATAACTATTTTACGCGAACTTGTTGCATACTATTATGGTCAAAGCAACCTGGCAACTTGTCACGTAATTCAAAGTTATGTAATATCTATCACGTGATCGTATTAATTCTCATACGTCCAAATAAATTTATAATAGTGAATTGTTGCTCAGTGGTAACCGAGTAGGTTAACACATTGCAAAGTTAATCAATTATAGCCAGGTCACTCTATGGATGGGTGAACATTCTTAATACACTTAGACTCCTCCGTGCCTTGAAGACAACGTTAAGCCATACAAACGTTATGGCCTTACGGTATACCAGGCAATCGTCAAGGGTAGTTGGAGCCCTAACAAGGCCGACAACAGTCTTTCTACAGAACTTTGATATCGCGTAGTACTTGGGTTGCGGAGGTCTGATGGTACTCGCTCCGCGTAAAAATTGATGTTCCGCCGTATCGTAGTTTAGTTAAAGCTGACCCCAACCTAGTTTAGGAAAAAGGCTCGGATCAAGTAGAGAAGTAAATTGTAGTACAATTTACATCACTTGATGAAAAAATTATATCGAAGGTTGAAGGGCAAATTGATCTAAGCGCCATTTTCTAAAATGTTCAGGAGGAACGTTTAAAGTTTTTTTTTTTTTGGAAACGAAAACTACGGAATAGATTTTTATACATTTATTACAGTATATTTATAAGTACATAAGAAAGCTTTTTAAGCTATTTTAGTCAATCAAACCGCAAAATGCATACAACTTGATTATCTTTATTGAAAAACAAAACGGTTCAAATGCCCGGGGTAAATTGAAACAGTTGTACAGTTGAAAATAAATTGATTACAGCGACGATTTAAGTTTTTAAAAACCATTAGAGCCATGTTGTCTGATGACAGAATATGTGCATTATATATATGAAAATTTATATTAATCACTTTATACATATTTTCATAAGCGAAGCTAATTATTTTCTAAGAGTCTCTCGAATAATATTCAGGTTATTTTTACTGCTACACTATGGCGTGAATTTTTAATAAACAATCTTACTAACGAAACAATGAAGTCATTTAGAACTTTAACTTATCAATAGTTCGCGTGTTAGTTAACGATAACATAAATGAAAACAAAAACTAGAACACGACTATCTGTAAAAAAAATAGTATCTAGAAACTGAGTTTGCCATCTGCTATTTAAATTGCATTTAAGTGTCTTTCAATGACTACTGTCTCAGTAAAAGACTTAACTGCTCTCCAATGATAGAAGTCTTTGCTAGGAATGTCAATCTTCATAACGCATACTTATTACGACCAGCATTTACAACTGGTAGTACATAAATATGTTCACTTTAACTAAATATTAAGAGAAATCTTATGCTGTTTGAAGCCAAATACTTTTTAATAATTGTACAATAGGCTAGAAACATATACCTTTATCGATTGTCCCAGTAATCTAATATACTTATGATTTGTGATGATTTTGAAATAATAAATAAATTGACTTCAGACTAGGGGCTTTTGACTATTAGATTCAAGAAGAGACTTTAATGCTTGTGTAACGAACGACGTATGATTGAAAATCCCAGTAGAGAATTTGATTATCGCTTCAATTATTTGGTGTAATAATGAAATTCAATACATATAAAATCATGATCGGAAGGAGTCCTACCATTGATATTTCACTGTATGTATTTTATAGAATGAGACGACTATACGACTATTATAGACGTACCAACGTTTGCTACTAATAGTTAAATATCTTGTGTGCTCTGTAATATTTCGGTTAAAACATAAATTGTACTTAGTCTCTTCTCAAATCCTTACTGGTACTTTGAAAGAAGATTTTATGATAAACTGAAAAGTAACAAATAATATTTATTATTAAAACAAATTTTAAGCGTCAAATTATAACGGCCATCAAAAAGACTTTGATTAGATTGACGAAAGTTGGCAATTTCACCCGACAAAGTTGTTCGTCCGTTATACTAAACAAGCGGTGATTACCTAAAGTTTAATTGAAAATCCTGAAATCTGTGATGATAAGGATTTTTATTATGCTCAGGTAAAGCATAAACTTCGTAGATAGTAATTGGAAAAGGCAGTAATAATAAAATTTTATACTTTGCTCAAAATTTGAAGATGTTAAAACGTTTTACAGTGTACAGTAACATTCATAAGTCCAGTGTGAAGCTCACAAAGGAATCCATTGTCGCTTTATTTCAAACAAAGCACCGATGGATTACGACCTTCTTTTATAATAACTCTTATGCTAGAAATACTCACACATATACAATGTCTCTGCAACTGATTGTAATCAATATTTTTTTTACTTATTTCAAAGGCAAGTTATCACATAGGTGTATAATATACTCTCTATTTCTAAATATACAAAATGAAACCGTCACGGTTTTAAGTCACAGTCGTTATAATTTTGTTAGTTTAAACACTCTCTACTATGATTAAATTAATTAATACAAAGCTACTATACCAGCTCTGTATTCATTAATTTGTTAGTGCAATTCATTAGGATTATTCATGTAAGGAAGTGTCATTGCTAGTGGCATGATATTAAAAGTAGCGTTGTTTTGTTTAGTTATAGTTGTTCTGAAATGCAGTAGAATATAAATATCGAAATATTTTTATATATATATAATATAATGATATATCTTATATATATAATTATATTTGATGTAATCGGATTGAGTGGAATTATTACTATTTTATATACCTTGTTGGATAAGTATCGTCATCATTAATCTATACTTCCTTGGTATGGTAACTATTTTGAATAATGAAATAAGTAGAACAAAAAGATACCTTCTCTGTTTTATGGTAAATCGGTAGAAAAAAAATTATATACAGAAGAGCTACATTGATCTACGCGCAGTCACAGTGGGATTTAATAAGAAATCGCACGAACGTAAACAAATGATATATATTGGAACGAAGGTCCTTATCGCGCGTTACACGCTCTGAGCGGATGGGAGCGAGACCAAAAAATGTGTAACAAGACTAAAAGCGAAGGAACTTCGTACCGACCGGGGGTCCATAGACCTCTCACCCCGTTTTTTTATATTGAAATAACTTTAGATATTTCTGATTAAAATAACCTACTAAAGAATTTTTTTAAACTACTACTAACTGTTATTTTTTTTAACCGCTAAACCCAAAAACGTTAAGTTTCTAAGAGTAAATACATTAGCCAAATTTGTAAACATAATAAAAGGGTTTTTACAAAATAATACTTTTGATAGTATTGCAACACTGTATGTATATGTACTTAATTATATCAGTAGTAAATAATCCTTAGGGTAAGATTGCATGACCGAGGCTCTTCTCTGAACTACTGTAATCTGCGTATTAAATTAAACTAATATAATCTGAGTCGACTACTTTTCGCGACCTGCTAGTACCCAACATCGGTTAGTATCAATCGGTTAGTAAATAATACACTGGTATGGAAACCTCAACATAAGAGTCTCGAGTGCGTCCTTTGACCCCCCCCCCCCCCACCACCCCCCCCACCCCAACCATAATCGGGATTAGGAGGGGGAGTTGGGTCTCGGTAACCTCAATGACTCGATGCCAAGCAACGAAAGAATTAATTAACATCGGTGTTTTGTGAGACCGTTGTCATTTACCTACATTTTCTGTGAGCCTTCGTTTCTACAAATCTTCTTCGACCGCGATATTGACATTTATAAAGATAAACTACTAGGTTTTTCTTGTTGTAACTGTAACTGACAGGTGTTCAATTTCGTTACTATAATATTGATAATATTTCGGACATCTATCACACAACGCCATCTAGTTTCAAACTAAGCAAAGCTTGTATTATGAAAGCTGGATTGACTGATAGAATACTTATATAATTTCATTTGTAAATACATATTATACACAGAAAACACCCAAACTCCAAAACTTAAACTAATTTATAGATCTTACAAACATTTGATTCGGAAATCGAACCCGAGACCTCGGCACAGCAGTCGCATACGCTATCACTGCACCACCGAGGCAGGCAATACTGTGACTTCTGCCATTGTCATGTAACAAGTGAAACGTTGTCGTTAGATTTAAGTGTGCAAATGGTTTAGTAATAAGCTTGGAAGTCGTACCAACAGAAAATTTTTTTTTTTTTTTTTGGGCAGTAAATTTTATAATCCAATCGAGTTAAGCCAACCAATTGTGTTTTATTATGTTGTTTAGAGATAGATTTTTTTTAAGGAAAGTTTACTCCCGCACTAGGAATAAATCCTGTCTCGCGGGGGACTTTATAAACATACATGAAACGGAGACAAAGAACACCCAGACTCAGAACAACATTTTGTGGATCAAAACAAGCAAGAACAAAAAAAGCTAGAAATAGGTTTGTCTGCAGCAGACGTGTGCATAGTACTCTCATGACTTTTCTGTTATCTACAATAAACAGTGTTCAGTTAATAATAAACTTAAGTGCAGTGAGCATAGTGTCTAGTGTCTTTAAGCATAATATATCTAAACCGGCTAGCTAATCGTCAGATTCGCACGGCGATTAACAATGAGCGTCACAAGGTCACCTACAAAAGCGGCCGGCGCACCAAGTCTTACTAGTTCTCAACCAGACTTATCAAAGTGTGAGCTACCCGTAATCGATAACTTTGTATTTACTCGAAAACGTAAACAACCTGATGCCGACGTTGAGGTCAAGGAAGCAATAGCCGAACTACGTAAGGACATGATGAGTTTCCTGTATGAATTCAAAAGTTCACAAAAAGCTGAATTTCAGCAGGTGAGGTCGGATGTAACGGATGTCAAAAACCAATTGGAATCGATAAAGGTTGCAAATAATGATATTATTAGAGATCATAATCAGTTTCGAAAAGACCTGTCATCTCTGACCGATTCCCTGGACTTCCACAGTAAAGAACAAGATGATTTGAAGTTCCGTATGAATATCCGTTCCGAAAACCGACAAAATAACTAGTTTGGAGTCTGAGCTCACTATCGTTGAGCGACAATTAACTACCCTCCAAATGGAACAGAATATTCGGGAACAGCGCGAGCGCGTAAATAATTTGGAAATTACAGGAATCCCAGAAAAAAATAACGAAAACTTGACTCAATATTTACAAACTATTGCTACATCACTCAAGACACAGATACCAGACGATGAAATTGTTCATATTCACCGAGTTCCAACGCGTGTTACAGGCAGAGTCAAAAGTATTATTGTGAAATTCAAATCTCTTATCACAAAAGATAGCCTAATCTCGGCGATGCGCAAAAAGAAATCATTAACAACTAGTGAAATTTGTTTCGACGGCGAAGAATCGGCTATTTATATAAATGAACATTTAACATCATTTTATAAGGACCTGCTTAGAAAAACAAAAGAAGCCAAGCGTGCCGCTAATTACGAATATGTATGGATACGAAATTGCAAAATACATGTACGAAAAAATAACACGTCACCGTCATTCACTATCAACAACCATGACGACCTAGCGAAAATTAAGTGACTACTATTATCAATTTGTGTCCTGGTTTCTCACTATTATAAGTTGAACTGCATATCAACATCATGTGATTTCTGCTCAATTTTTCATTATACAGTCAACACATTCACATACCACACATTACACCTCCACAATAAAGATATTTACATTACTTACTATTACATTATGCTACATAAAGTTATATATCAATCCGTAATCATGCATTTCTTCGAATACAGTATAACCGCATATCGTCACCAAGTGTTTTCTAATGATTCATACACCATACCCACTCGATATCTATATGTGCGCTTGACTACTTTTTACCTAATATTAATTCTCATGACCGCAAACACATTCGCAGCCCGCTCGGCCGTAAACACTTACCTGCAATATTATGTTGTTGTAACTACCTCAGTCCGTAGCCCACATTATCACTTAATAATACTTAAGACTTTAAATTTAACCACTGCAATAATGTTTTTTTTTTTTCTATTAACTTTTATTGTACCTATTTACGCTCTCATATACTTAGTTGTATAGACATGGCATTCATATTTAATGTTATTATGAATAGTGATAAAAGTCCGTATTTGGTATTGTGTTTATGTACCTATGTAATATATGTATGTGTGTATAATATGTATGTATTTAAGTGTATCTATGTATATATATTTAATATTTTAACCGAATGTAATAGGATATTTAATAACTAACTAAAAAAAAAATGGCAACAAATAATAAAATATATTATCAGAACGTACGCGGCTTACGGACCAAGTGCCTAGACCTTTATAATAACATTTTGAGTAATGACTATGATATAATAATGTTAACGGAAACTTGGCTACAAGATGATATTTTGGACAGCGAGTTTTGTGATGGTAGGTATGAGGTCTACCGATCGGATCGGGATTTGACTGCAACTAATAAAAAATCCGGCGGCGGCCTGCTAATTCTTATCAAGCGTGAAGTAGATGCTTATTTATGTAATGAATGGCCGGCATCTAACGTCGAATCTATTTGTATAACTATACCAGCGCGCTCGCTGGGTTCGTTGGTTGACTTGCACATAATTTTAACTTATATTCCGCCAGACTTGGACTTACCTAATCGCGTGTTATGTTTTCAAAGTAATGTATCACAATTAATGGCTAAGTATCCATGTGACAATTATTTGGTAATTGGTGATTATAACCTACCTTTTGTTAGGTGGTGTAATAACAATTATTATTATGATCGGAGTAGTTCTTCTCAAACACTTGATGCAGCCACCTCATTAATGAATGAGTTTAACTTTTATGGATTAGTACAATACAATTGTTTAACTAATAAATGGGGGAACACGTTAGATTTAAGTTTTTGCAACTTGCCTTTATCAATTAGCGAATGCTTGCAGCCTATTGTCAGGGTTGATGACGCCCACCCACCTTTTTACGTTAAATTGTTGGATCTTCAACTTGTACCTCTCAAAGAACGGCATGACCCGCGTTTTAATTTTTATAAATGTGACTACATAAAAATAAATGAATATCTTACAAATATCGACTGGCTAAAAAAACTTGATGTCGGTACAATTGATGAAGCTGTCGATATTTTTTATTCAACATTAAGTGATTGCTTTACGTTGTATGTCCCAATTTATAACCCAAAATCCAAATGCTATTATCCTATATGGTACAGCACAGCATTAATAAGAATAATTAAGGAAAAACACAAAATGCATCAAAAATGGATAAAAAGGGGCAACCCGCGCGATTATGATGAATTCCGTCTCTTGCGTTCTAGGGTACAACTTGTGCAAAAAACTTGCTTTAACCAATTTATAATAAATAGCCAAAACATAATCCGGCGTAACCCAAAATACTTTTGGACCTATGTAAAATCTAAAAAGGGTTGCTCTAGCTATCCTAAGAAGTTCAAACTAAACAATATAGAATACACTGAGGGGCACTTAATTAGTTCTGCGTTCAATAAATTTTTTGAGAGTGTCTTTATAAGTCCAATGAACGTTACTAATAATACCCCAGATTTATCTACTATTAAATACCAAAACCAAGATATATTATCACATATAGAAGTAAATGAAGATTTAGTATATAAATTGTTATCCTCATTAGATAAAAACAAAGGCGCAGGCTCCGATGGTGTTCCACCGATTTTCTTATCTTCATGTGCAAAATCCTTAGCTTTGCCACTATCTTACCTTTTTCGTAGATCCCTGAAAGAGTGTATTTTTCCATCAAAATGGAAAAACGCTCAAATTATCCCCATACATAAAAATGGGTCACGCTCATCTATTGAAAATTACCGACCAATCTCTATATTAAATACGATTAGTAAGATTTTGTGAAAAACTTATTTATAAACAAATTTATCCAATACTATCACAAGGCATACCCCACTACCAGCACGGATTTCTTAAAGGACGCTCCACTGTTATCAACTTAGCATTGTTTTCCGACTACGTATTAACTCACATGGATGGGGGTGGTCAGGTGGACGTCATGTACACTGATTTTGAAAAGGCTTTTGATCGCGTAGATCATGACATATTGCTTCGAAAATTACAGGAACTAGGTATACATGGGGACTTATTACGGTGGGTCCGATCATATCTACTGAATCGCTCGCAGGCTGTCGTGATGAGTGGTTATAGGTCAGATTATATCTCAATCCCTTCTGGTGTGCCTCAGGGCTCGCATCTTGGCCCCCTCTTTTATAATGCATATATTTATGACATCTCTGACTGTTTTAAATTCGCCAAACACATAATGTACGCGGACGATAAAAAAATCTATGCACCCATACACAAGGTTGATGACTGCGTAAGACTCCAGCAGGATTTAAATGCACTTCAAGAATATTATTCACGTAACAGAATCTCTATTAGTATTAGAAAATGTCAAACTGTCAGTTTTACTCGCAAAAGGCAACCAATTAACTTTCCATACAATTTTTACAACATTGTAATAGAGAGGGTCAACCTGGTGCGCGATCTTGGGGTATTCTTCGATTCCCAGATGCTTTTATCTTACCATGTGGAAAAGGTAGTAGTAGTAGACAAAGGGCTTACCGTAACTTAGGGTTTGTATTAAGAACATGCAAACCATTTCAGTGCTCACTAAGTCTTAAAGTTGTTTACTTTGCATATGTACGTAGCATAATAGAATATGCGTGTCCCATATGGAATCCTTGTTATGGTATTTATACTAATCGTATAGAATCAATACAAAAAAAAATCATTATGCATCTTAACTTCAAAACTCAGCAACGCTACTCCTCTTACGTGGACAGTTGTCGCGGACATAAGATTTTGACGTTGGAAGAGCGCCGGCGAATGCTAGATGTATGTTTTCTGTACGATATTGTACGAAATCGACTTGATTGTCCTGCATTGCTAGCAAATATCTACTTTAGTGTACCTCGAACACGAACAAGACATACCAGGCTCTTGGTTGCGCCCTTACGTTCTACAAATTATGCCAAGAACTCTGTTCTCTCCAGAATTATAATAACCTATATAATACCGAATTTAAAGACATAGATTTATTCTCGAACAGTAAAAGTAGGTTTAAGACGCTTATAACGAACACGCTAGCGGGCACTCAAGCTAAAGTGTGATTGGGTTAAATGTGGATCTCGTTGGGTGGGATGTTGTTTCGCTTTTTTGGTTATTCTGAGGGCTATGTAATGCTATGTAGTATATTGTAGCGCACATACACACACACACATATGTACACGCACAACACACACACACACACATACACGCACAACACACACACATACACGCACCACACACACACATACACGCACCACACACACACACTCTGTTCAGCATACTGCTTGCCTAGAATATTATCTCACTGTTCTTTTAGTTGTAATTTAATTTATTAGTTTTAATATTTTATGTTTTGGCTTCAACTTTTATTTTTTTACATTTTTGCTGTGACAAAGTCTGGGCAATTTTTATTAAAATCAAAATTGCATACGTGGTTAACATTAATTGGTTTCACCTGATTGTAGAAATTTAAATTGTAATATTTATTTTTAAGGACTGTTGTTAACCCTAATAAATAAATAAATAAATCACACAAAGTTTTGTGCGATGTGGGGATCGAACCCACAACACTCAGCGCAGTAGCAAGCGGCGAGGTGACCGCTCAAACTATTACGCCATCCGTTAAGCCACACCCACAAGACTATCCGGCCTGGCGGGTCACAGCCATACAATTGAAGTTAAGAAGCTCTATATACATAATATATTGTAGCTTGATATAGGAGATATACGGTTGATGACGTTGATTTACATTCGAGTCACATCAATTTCTCAACTCACAAAATTCCGAATAATCCAAAATCAAAGCATTTACAAGACAAATAGCCAGTTACATTTTTTTTCTTGTATGTTATTGTGGTATCCAGTCGATAAGCTACCAGTGTGACCGAAAGTTAATACTCTTTCCTTATCTTAATAGAATGCCAATTC